ATTCCACCAAGGTCTGCACAGGACACAAACTATGTCTTTGAGCAGAAATTAGAAGAGAGCATGGTGGGGGCAATGGCAGAGGCTACTAGTGCCATGGAAACAGGAGGCCAAGACAGGAAGATCACTTGAGCCTAGGAGGTAGAGGCCAGCCTGAGTAACACAGGGAAACAAAGCATGAGGCCGGAGTGACCCATGGCCCCTCATTGCCATTGCTGTGTCCCCTGCTGCGCCCGTGCTCCGCTTGTTCCCCGAGCTGCACTCACCTCTCTGGGCCTGCGGAATGTACATGCTGTTTCTCTGCCTTTTAGGTAAACTGTCAGACATTAAATCAACATGGTCCTCGGGCCCAGTCTCCCACACGCAAGCCTCTCTGTCACATGAGTTGTGGAAGGTGCCCAGAAACACTACTGCGCCCACCAGACCCCCTCCAGGGTTAGCCAATCCCAAGCCTTCCTCCACCTGGGGTGCCAGCCCCCTTGGCTGGACCAGCTCTTACTCCTCAGGTAAGCACTTTCTCCTGTTCATGAGGGCACCAGTGCTCCGAGCTGCTCTGCTTTACTCTTTGGGGATATGCCTGTTTGAGCCACACCTCTCGTCAGACTCCAGGACCCTGGGAGATTTAAGAAAGAGCTGAGCTTCATACACTGTGCACTCGCAGGCATCGGACACAAATGCCACACAGACTGCACCCTCAGAGGACCATTCAGCCATCCTAGGCTTCCCACCCCATCGGCCTCCCTCGGCAGCACAGGGGTCTTTATTTCCCCTCACACTTGCTTTTTCACAAGGTTTCACGGAAACACGAAAGCTTTCCAGACCAAAAACTAAGCACCTTAGCAGCGCTGTGTAGCTGTGTGGACGCCTGTGCCTGCCTCACGGGCATGGCCCTGAGTTCCATTGCAGCACAGGAATTGCACCACCCAAGGGAGCTGCAGGTAGTCAGAGAAGAGCACCTCAGCCCTCAGTAGAGACAGCCCTGCTGGGTTCACCTCACATCATCAATAAGCAGAATTTTAGCGTGTTGGTTCTAGCTGGGGGTTGGAGCAGGCCAAGATAGAGACCAGGACTTTCCAGGTGAGTCTCGGGTACCCCATCATAACCTGTCCCCAAAGGCACAGACAGGAAGAGATGGGCCTCCAGGGCTAGCAGGCCTATCTGGGAAGCTGGGGTTTTCACAAGCCGTGGACAGAATCTGTGGAGCTCTGAAACAAAGACTAGAGCCTGCTGTATATTCTAAGTTAGACTAGAAGCGTGGCCTGTCAACTGAGTTCTTGTCCCTTGGACTTGTCACATAGGTTCTGCTTGGAGTACTGATGCCTCAGGAAGAACCAGCAGCTGGCTTGTTCTTCGCAACCTCACACCCCAGGTATTGGCATGTAGGAGGGGCACCTTGTCGTTCCTGTGGGTGGCTGAGTAGGGCCAAGAATGCACCCACCTGGCCCTGCAGCAGGTGACTGTCCGTGGTGGGTATTCTCATTCAGGGGCCTGGGGTGACGGGCAGGTGTGAGTGATGGGTAATGTGAGCAGTCACAGGCTTCCTTCATCCATGTGTTTCCATTGGCGTATTTGTACTTGGGAGCTAACAGCATTGACTTTTGTAAAGAACTGCTCGTCTTAAAGCCACATTCATTCAAAGGGATTTGGCCACCTCAGATCTGTGGCTGGCAGGTAGTCACTGTTCTCAGGCACAGAGCCTATCACCTCTGGTACCAGGCTGTGGTACCTTGTACAAACTGCAGAACCCAAAGTGGAACTTTGGCCCTTCCTCTGATTCCTGTAACCAAGGAAGCCCACATTTCAGATGCCTGGGTCAGAAAGCCTGTCAAGGGACACACTAACCTGCTTCCGTCCTGCTGCTGGAGATCCACAAGTTCCCCTGTGCTTCCTCCTCAGATCGATGGTTCTACACTGCGGACACTGTGCTTACAGCACGGGCCTCTCATCACATTCCACCTGAATCTGACCCAAGGCAATGCTGTGGTCCGCTACAGCTCCAAGGAAGAAGCTGCGAAGGCCCAGAAGTCTCTGCACATGTATGTTTCTGCCAAGTAGCCACAGATACCAAGAGTGTTGGGTGGGAGTAAGGGGGTGACGTGGGGCCACCCCAACACTGCGCCCGAGGTGGCACCTCATCAGAACTGTGTCCTCTCACAGCTCTGGAGGCTAGAAGTACTAAATCAGGTGTAGACAGGCTTAACTCCTTCTGAGGCCTGCTCCCCAATTTGTAGACAGCCATTCTCTTCCTGTGTCCTCAAGTAGCCTCCTGTCTGCCTGCCTGTCCTGATCACCTTGTTAGAGTTTGACTTTAATCACCTCTGTAGAGACGATCATTACAGTCACTTTGGGAAGCACAGGGGCTTCAGACTGAAGTGTATGAAATTGGAGCGAGTTCAGCTTACCACAGGCGTCTCCTCCTGAGTTGGTTTCTGCTGATGCTGAGTGCTGTGGCTGTGCCCTCTGCCAGGAGAGACTCCTGATGAGCAGCCACAAGCTCCAGTGACAAGCAAGCCTTGCTGGGAAGGGCACATGGGGAGAGTGCCCACCTGCCCACCCAGGCCCCGGGATGTTCACAGCAAACCCACTGCCCCCTTGAGGGTGCTGTCCATACAGAGTGGATGGAGTGTCACTTAAGGAGGGGCCCAAGATGCCAATTATATTGATGCCCCATTGTGTGGTACATTGAAACTTGTAGTCCATGCATCCATCCTCTGTGGCCTCCAGAAGTCAGAAGTGAGGGAATTAACAGTGGCAGTGCGGCCGCAGGCTGGGTCTCGGTGGCTCATGACATGAGGCCTCTGGCTGTGTCTTTCCTGATGGCACAGCCTCGGGACTTGGAGTGGCACACTCACCCAACCTCTTGCCTTCTAGGTGTGTGCTGGGGAACACCACCATTTTGGCCGAGTTCGCTGGTGAAGAAGAAGTGAACCGGTTCCTGGCCCAAGGCCAAGCCCTGCCGCCCACCTCCAGCTGGCAGTCCAGCAGCGGGGGCAGCCAGCCTAGGCTGGGTGCCTCAGGCAGCACCCATGCCCTGGTGCGCAGTGATGCCGCCCACTGGAACACCCCATGCCTGAGTAGCAAAGGCAGCAGTGAGCTGCTGTGGGGCGGGGTGCCACAGTACTCCAGCAGTCTGTGGGGCCCGCCCAGTGCGGACGATGCCCGGGTGATTGGCAGCCCCACACCTCTCAACACTCTGTTACCCGGGGACCTGCTCAGCGGCGAGTCCATCTAGGGGCCACGGTCATCGGGGAGAAGAGAGCCGACCTTGCCAGGCCCGGCGCTGTGGCTCCACTCAATGGGCAAGCTGCCTGCAGCTCCTTCAAGTACCTCTGTCCAGTTCCGAAGATGAACCTTGGCCGCGGCCCTTGCGAACTGTTCCAAGACAGTGCGGGCCGCGTTTGGTCAGTGTCACATGCTAATGACAGGATGTTCCTCATAGCTTTTTATTTTGTGTCGTCTTATGTTCGTATGGTGTGTTGTCATTTTGAGTTTTAAGTATAAAAGCTGCTTAGAATAGTTCTATCATGAAGGGCACTTTTCAGATTGTGGGCTGGAAAAGGTTATTTTATTGCGGGGTGGGGGGGGGAGACTTGAAGCCTATTTAAAGTGAGCCTGTGACAATTATGCACATTACCAGAGGCGGCGGGCGGGTGGGGGCACACAGCTGAGCGGCACGTGGCGGACGCTCTCTGTCCCCCGGGTCCGCCTATGCACATTACCCTTATTTCATTACTTTTTCATGTCATTTTTTTTTTTAATCCCAAAAAATGTTTTTTAAAAGTTAAAAAAAAAAGACATATCAAACATGCAAATACTTGAATCCAGCAGGCCAATAATGAAATGTGAACACTTTCCAAGTCGAGTTCTACACTTCCAGGTCAACATCAGTACATAGAAACAGGCTCTAGGAAAAATTTCTAAGTTCATAGCCTACATGTGGGTGCGTGTGTGCGCGTGTGGAATAATGTGTGTGTGCGCGTGTGCTCCCACACAGCTCACGCTTCCTGTGTGTGTTTGAGAACTTGTGAGAGGGACTTAACTGTGGGTTTTACCCTTTTATTCAGTATATGCTCCCCCCTCCCCCGCATTGGTCAAACATTCGTTGTTACTAGCTTCTAACTTTGCACTGAGGTGTCCCTGCCCTTCCTTTAGCTAATCCTGAACATTAAAGAGAATTCACAGGACAGGGCCGGTGACAATTCATGTGTAAATGTTTACTCAAGGACTTTGTTATTGCGTTTAAAATACAGTGTGTATCTCTGGAGAAATAATATGTCTATCTACCTTTAGCAGCTTTTCGTGGTGGACTAATGCGAGATTGTTGCCAGAGTATTGCACCATTTCCACCTGGAGTATAAAGTTAAAGAAAACTGTTGTTGAACTGTGGCCATAGATACTTGTAGAGAATGGGTGTTCCGCAGCAGCGAGCGGAAACGAGCACTTGGACATATTGTGACTGCTTTCGAGGAGCCACCGTTTGCGCTCCCACCTGTTTACAGACCTTTTTTTTCTCCTTCAGACTTTAAAGTTTAAAAAAAAAAAATTTTTTTTTTAATTTAAAAAATTTAAAAAAAAACTTCCACCGTAAAGAAACCTATTTTCAGAATGCAGACGCGTCACTTGAGAGCTCTGGGACGGGACGTGCTGTCCCCCTCCGGCCATCGTTGTGAACTCTGTCGATCGTCCTCGCCCTTCATCAAGGTGACGAGGTGTCGTGGTCACTGTCTTGCACATGCCGGCGCGCTCTCAGGAAAGCCAGGGCTCCCGAGGGCAGCTCCACACCATTTCATGGATTTTTAAACCCAATTCCTAGCACTGAAGATGTTATTTAAAAAAAAGAAAAAGGAAAAAAAGATGTTATTAAAAAAAAAAAAAAAGGAAAAAAAGAAAAAAAAAAACAAAAAACAAAAAAAAACAAAAAAAAAAACCCGACAAAGAAGAAAAATACCTAATCCCTAATGTGTAGCAGTTACATATTTACCAAATAACGGACTCAAAAGAAATAGATGTTTGAAGAGTGCTTTATATATTAAAAATGGCTTTATGTTTTAAAAATGATCAACATTTTGATTGTTTTCGAGGAAGAAAGACAATGAAGTAGCAAAGCCTCGAGTATGTTTAAAATATATGAACATTGTACTCCCTGCCTGCTCGATCAGGAAACTTGTGCATTACATTTTTTTTAATTAGCTTTTTAATGGTTTTATCAAAACAAACAAACAAACAAAAAAATAATGAAGAGAGTCCTGCACGATTGCAGAGGACAGAAGCTGGTTTTCTAGAGGATCATGAACTATGCACAGACTGGGTTCAAGACTTGTCTCAAGTTTCGTGGCGTCTCCAGCGGAACGGCCCCCCTCAGAGTGACTGCATCTCAGCGCCATTACGTGCGTCCTATATATTTGATGTATGTATACCCAAGTATGTATATCAAATATGTGCGTGTGCGTGCTCCCAGGCGTACAGCTTGCCGTGCTGCCGTTTAGCACCGAGTTGTAGAAAAACTTGTCATGTGTTAAAATTGGGGATGGAAGTAAAGATCTGTTTGTCCGTTTAAGTTTTGTGGCTCCCCCCCCCCCTTGTTTTCTTTTTTGGACCTTTTATTTTGAATTTAAGATGTCTGTGACTCTAAGAAAAAAAGTTTGTGGCTCTTAACGTCTCTCCTCATAGAATGTGGTTGTTGAACATGCACCGAAAGTTGCTTTCAAAAGTACAACGCTTTGTTGAATCTTAATAAATTGCAATTTTTTTCTTGGCTGTTCACATTGATGTTTTCATCTTTCAGAGGCAGATCCTGCTGTGTCAAATCTCCTGGGCTCCTTATGAGTTCATTTATATACTTGGTAAACTCCGACTCTTGGCTGTTTGACTTGCATTTTATCCTTTGATTTTTGGTTTTGCTGCTGACATTTGAAGCCCAGTGATAACAGTCCAGGAGACTGACAGCCTCACGGCCTCCTCTGCGGGTCTGAACCAGATGCAGCTGAGGTCCAGTGTTACCCAGGCCAACAGCAGGTGGAGCCAGGGGAGAGGCTGGGATGTGGATAATGGTAGAACATTCACATACTGTGTCCACGTGCACACACACACAGTGGCACACACCCATAGTCCCAGCGATCTGAGACTGAGAAGCAGTACTGCCTGGGCCCATGGGTTCAAGGCCAGACCAGGCAATGCAGCGCTGCAAGACCCCAACTCAGAGGAATGTGGTTTTTTTTTTTTTTTTGTCTTTTTGAGACAGGGTCGCCCTGTAGCCCCAGCTGTCCTGGAACTCACTATGTAGACCAGGCTGGCCTTGAACTCAAAGATCCACCTGCCTCTGCTTCCAGAGTGCTGGAATTAAAGGCGTGTGCCACCACACCCGGCCAGGAATGTTTTATTGATCTCTTTCCACAAAACATCTAGGAAGCAGCACTGTCAGCAGAGTCACAGGCTACAGGAAATGAAAACATCCACTTTCACCCTCTTGGGTTGACCCACCTTGTACTGAGGATGGGCCCCACCCTACCACTGGGGACCCGCAGGAGAGGAAGGAGCAGCTGGCTTCTATGGAGGAAATCACTGAGAGGGCCCTGGCTACATTGGAAACCAAAGACCAGAAGGAGAATGAGAGTCGGCACCAGAGCAACTGGCGAGGTCACTTGGCTTCCAGCAACCTCCTACACTGCAGGCCAGACCTTCAACAAGGGCCTTGGGTGTACCTAGCGCCAACAGTTCAGTTGTAGAACGGCAGACCAGGAGGCCAGTCAAGGAGTGGGTTCCACTCTGCCTAGAGGTAAAGCAGTATCCAGTGTGAAATGCCACTGTCAGCCTCCAAGTTCCTTGAGGATGGATGCCCAGGAGTGAACAGAAGGCTTCATGGAGGAGGTAGCACCTGCCCTGGCCATCAGGGCCATGTTGGACTTCCAGCATGGGGAAGTCAGGAAAGGCCTCGTGAGATGTCAAGGTGAAGGAAGCGGTAGGACTGGAGGTGTCCAACAACAGCATGGCGCGACAGTGAAGGCGTACGAACACTCGAGACCAGCCAAGGTGGTGAGATGGGCAGAGGCCCAAGGAGGTGGGCATGACCTGACGGGGGCACAGGGTGGAGTGGTAACTGCTGTGGCTGGCCTATGCAGAGTGGAGCAGAAAGGCGGCTGAGGCAGGAAGGTTCTTTGCAGCAACAGTACTTTGGAAAGACCCAGAAGGCCATTGCAGGGTGGCCGTAGCACTGTGTGGGCCAGTGCTTCTCAGGGAGTCACTGTTGACAAGACCTCACACAGGCTTGTCCCCTGGCCTCCAAGCTTGGCCCATCACTGAAAACCCAGCACCCATGTGGACAGCCTTCAGCTTAGGTGACTGCGTTTGTAACAGCTGGTGCCCAACTGGGTCCAGAATACGTTCTTAGCCTTGGCCTCTTAAAATCACCCAGAAACTTTTAGAGTACCAGAGCCAGGCACACTGTGTATTCATTGAGGATCTCTGGGATAGCCCCAGGCACAGATAGTTTTCAAGCTGCCTGGTGCCGCCAAAGGTGAAGAAGCAACAGTACACACACCTGTAATGCCGGCACTTGGAAGGGATGGATGGCAAGAGGATCCGGAGTTTGAGGTCATTCTTAACCTAGGCTATATGAGGCTCTGTTCCAAAAACAGTAAGTGGCCTAGAAGTTTGTGTTCAGAGTGAAATGCCAGTAAGCCTCCATTCCCTGGAGCAGCAATCTGCAATTTTCAAGTCTTGACAGTTGATCTCAGTCTGTATGTAGCTAACTCATCCCTCCTTCCTTCCCTTCTTTCCCGGCCTCTTAAAAACTCAAAGGCAGAGCGGGGAGGGGGTGACTAGTAGTACACCTGCCAGGTGTGGCTCTAAGCACTTAAAGGAGCTGTATCGTTTGCTCCTGTGGCCCCATCCATAAGATAAGGAACTTAGGACCAGCCAAAGAGCATGCCTAAGGTCAGCCAGCTGACCCAGGCTGGTGAGCCCCCCAGCGCTGCCAGTACAGTACGGCTGTCACTGACAACAGGGAAAGATTTTTAGCTGGAGGACCTCCAGCAGGAGTCCAGAGAACATGTGTCCAGCCAACCGCAGATAGGGCATGCGAGATGTGGGCCAGGGTGGCATGGGTCACTAGCAGAAGTTCTCCAGGAAGCCCGGCCTTGCTCAGGGCACTAACCCACACCATCACAGCCCTCTTCAGGTGCTGGCTGCATTTGCAGCCCCCTCCACTGCAACACCTGGATCCATGTTGGGGTCACTGCATTCCACACCTGGGCCAGGCTGACAGAAGACGGACGGCACAGGGATTCTGTGAAACACTGTGATAATCCTTTCCCTTCTCAGCTTGTCCTGATCTTGAAAAGTGAACCAGTGGGCTCAGGAGGTTACTTAAGTCCCCTCCCCATGGACGAGGCTGGGGCTTGAGAGAAGGCATCGGATGCATTTAGCCCAGATCCTATGTAGTAGAGCAGTCTGGATTGCCCATCAGCTTGCGTTCAGCAGTATTCATGCCTGGAGACAGCAGCACTCAGTCCGTAACAGCCGTGACAGGCTTGGAAACCCTATCTGCCAGGCCGCCCATGGCACCACATGGCACAGAACCTTCCAGTGGGACTGGCCTCAGGAAGGAGTGGCCCTGGGCCAGCTAGGAGATGGCTGATGGTCAAGAGTGATTCCTGGCTCCGCTAGAGAAGGCTGAAGGGTGGGCCCATCACTACTGACATTTCTCCACCCACAGTGGCTCCCCAGTGAGTACAGCTGCAGACTTAAGGGTGCTATGGCTACAAATAGCAGGGACCCTCCTCTTCCTGGAACTCCACTTCTGCAGGCTCAGATTCAGAGAAACCAGAGGGAACCAGAAGCAGCCCCTCTGCACCCCAGGGCATCCTGTCCAGCAACCCAGTCCACCTCTTAAGACTTGGCACTAATGATCCCCTGCTGTGAGCCTCTCACCCCAAGGTTTTTCACGCGTCCCCGCTGAGTCTGTCCCTAAATCCATCTTCCCCTTCTGCCCCAATAAAGATCACAGGCTGGTGCCTTCTGACCCTGGGCACACAGACCTTTCATCCTGCCCAGGAGAGTGACTGTTTACCCTCTGCCAGCAGAGGGCGCCCTCCACTCAGGACTAACCCCTGAGCTCCCAGCTGAGCATCCACAGCCTACAGGGAAGAACAGCTGTGGTCCTAGTAAGTCCCTACACCTGCACACATCTGGCAGGTGCAGGTCACAAGCTCATCCAAAACACAAACCCATTTAGTCAGAGTCCCAGGTAGGACAGGACCTCTAGGTACCTAAACCCTCACCCATCCTTGCAGCTGCATCTTCAACTTGAGGAGTTTGCAAAGGAAAGTAGTCACTGCCCCATCCTTGTGTCCTGTGGGGGTCTCGGTCTACACCTCAGCCTACAGGGCCATGGTCACTGGGGGCAGTTGGGGTGCTTGTGAGCATGCAAGGCCCCTCACTGTTTGAGCAGGTGTCCTCTCTGTCCACGAGCAGGGCAGATGGTGTGGTAGCCTCCTGGGTTCTACCAGGCCTGCCAGAAAGGGAAGTCAGGGAGGCCTCCAAGTCCGTATGTCTGACAGCTCTGGATGTGCCGAGTCCTAACCATCAGGCCTCCTGGGTGGAAGGCATTTGTGCCTGAAGGCCAAGCTGGCAGAGTGCTGTGCAGAACTCAGTGAAGGCTGCCATCAGTGCGGGGGTTTAGAGAGCAGCTGGTGTACACCAGCAGTGAGGGCTACAATGATGCCAACCCCTCTACACAAGGAAATGAAAGCTGGGGCCCTGCAGTCTCCATGACTATGTGCCTGACCTGGGGGGAGGAATCCCCCCTCCCCCAGGCTAGGCCAAGGCCCATGAATGACCAGATGAGGGCTTCCTTCTGAAATACCCCAAGTGCAGAGTGTCAGCCTCCTGTGGAGGTCTGTTTCTGCTGAAGAGCCCTGGTGGCTACAGCTGGGGACCTGCAGACATGGCCTGAGGGGAACAGCCTCAGATGCTAGGCATGTAAAGTGTCACTGCCAGTTGGTCTCTGTGCCCCACTCAGCAGGGAGAAGCGTGGTAAGCAGCCCCTCTGTTGTCGGGGGCACCGCAAAGCTCGCCTGTCTCAGTAGTGCTTGGACACGGCCCTCCACCACTGAGGGTGTTGCACAGGCACGTGCACCTCGGCAGGCCCCCCCCACCCCGTCCCAGAGTGGACGTTGAAGGCAGAGGGTAAGGCAAAGCAGTGGGCTGCTGGTACCACCAGGAACTCCAGCAGGGGTCAGCCTCATCAGGGGCAGCTGGGCAGGGTTAGCCCATATGGAGAAGGCTGGAGGTGCTTCCCCATGGCTCCTGAAGTCCAAGGCAGAGGGTGCTTCACAGGGGTGTGCCAGTCTTCCCACTTTCCCTCTGGCACCACACCTGACCCCCCCTCCCCTGGCCGCACACCTGGCTCCCACAGCTCCCTCCTTGCCTTCACCCGCTCTTCTCGTAGACAGAGTGAAGCTTGTTGATCAGGAAGATCTTGTCCTCTCCCTCCTAGAAAGACCGAGTGGAAAAGCTGAGAGAACAGTCTGCCCTAGAGCTGGCTTGTTCCAACATAAGTACCCAACAGTGCTGGGTGTGTGAGAGGCAAAGGCAGGAGCCAGCCTAATGTACTTTCAAACTAACCCGGCTATTAACTTGCCCTAGACAAGTCCCCATCCCTCCCCCTCCCACCATATCTGTCCTTGAGACAGGGTCTCATGCATCGAAGGCTGGCTTCAAACTCACTATATAACTGGATGACCTTGAATCACTTCTCAAGTGCTGAAATTACAGGTGTGCACCACACCTGGCTTGTCTCAAAGATGTTTTTAGTCCCTTTTAACTTTATTCCACATCTGTCCAATGAGAGTCCATGTTCCTACATGTGTCCCCAGAGAAAGCCTCTTAGAGCACCATGTGAACCCACAATGGGCCCCACACCTAAAGCAGTTTTTCCAGCCAGGGCCTGTGCCAGTGGGGTTCCTGTTCCCCAAGGCCTGGATACCTCATGCCTGCTCTCTGCTTAGCCTCCCCCCACCACCACCACCAGAAGCTGGCTGTGGTGATTCCCAGCACTCAAGTAACTGAGACAGTTCGAGGACAGACTGGGCTACACAGTAAGGCACTATTTTTTTTTTTTTTTTAATGGGGCTCTCAGGATAGCCCAGTGGAAAAAGCATCTGTCATGCAAAGCCTAGAGTCCCAAGTTCCCCAGACCAACATGAAGAAGAGAACTCCACCTCCCCTAAGCTGTCCTCTGACCACACATGTACTTCTGTGCGCGTGCATGCGCGCACACACACACACGGAATAACAGGGCTGGGGACATTGGTAGAATACTTGCCTGGCATGCCAAATCCCCTGGGTTTGATCCCCAATACTGCATAAACCAGGTATGGACCAGAAATTCAAGGTCATCCTCAGCTACATAGTAAATCCCAGAGCAGTCTGAGCTACAGAGCAGAGTGAAACCCTATCTCTACTAACAGAACAAAAACAGGTGCGCAAAGGGACAGCACAGCAAGAGTGGGCAGACCAGCTGGGGCAGGCACTCACGTTCCGAATCTGCTCCTTGAGTAGACAGATGACCTTCCGCTGGCCCTTCACCACCTGGATGTTGAGGTAGATGACAGCCCTGAGGAGACAAGGGGGCTCAGGCTGGAGGCTGATGGTGGGGTGGGGACAGTATAGGACCCTGCCCTGGGCCAGCATCCTTGCCATGCACCCCCCTGCGCAGCAGCAGAACTCACAGCAGCAGGGCTGACACCAGAAAGAGGAAGAATGTGTTCTCCACCAGGTAGTGGTGCAGCCAGGGCACCCAGGAGGCCCTGGAGCCCACACGCTCCAGGCGGCGCACCCACACCGTGCCTGCTTCATACATGGTGTCCAGGGTCCGGAAGGGGCCACAGGTGCTGGAGGGCTTCACCCTGGAGAAAAGGATGACCGGGAACCCTGAGGCAATGATCCCACTCAGCTCAGACAAAGGCAAGCCCTGCATCATCCCAAAGCCAGAGAATGACAGCCCTCCCACCTGGCCCCCCAAGGCAGATGAGAAGCCACTCACTGCCAGATGGCGTAGCAGAGGAAAACAGCGGTGCCCAGGAACGACGGGAAGCTGAGCAGGGTGAGGAAGACGGTGCTCATGTGCGATGCCAGCCAAGGCCGCCGTGGTGCCTGGCAGTTGGCCATCAGGCTCGCCTGGAGACAAAGGTGATGCTGTGCCCTCTGCCACGGCCACCCCAACCTCAGAGCATCCCTTCCCCACCCCTGGACCTCTAAGAGTATGATAGTTAACACTGATTATCAACTTGTCAGGACCAAGACTCATCTAGGAGACAAACCACTGGGAATGTCTGCGGGGAAGCTTCTAGATTGAGTTAAATGAGGTGGGAAGGCTCACCCTAAATGTAGGTACCCCACTGCCAGGCTGGGGTCCCATGTTCATGCAAAGCAGAGCAAAGTGCCAGTATTCCTCTCTCTGCTGCCTGACTAGATGCCATGTGACCAGCTGCCTTGGGCTCCTGCCGCCATGCCTTCCCCACCATGATGAACCATACCCTTAAACTGAGAATAAACCCTTATGTTGCTTTCGTCAGGTATGTTGTTATAGCAACAAGAAATAAACTAAGACAAAGTGGGAAGAAGGGGACAGGCAGGCAGAGGCTGAGCCTGCCGCCAGGCCCCAAACCAGAAGCCAGGACATGACCGGAACTCTGCTCCCCTCGCCCAGGGGATGGCAGCAGCAGTGCACAGAGAAGACCCTGGTGGAACCGAGTCTGAGTCTGGAAAGTGCCAGCTGGGCCAACAGCGTCATCCAAGGCAGACAGTGCATCACACCAGGCCCATGCAATGGAGCTGACCACCACCACCTCCACTGGGGGCTGGGGGTGGGCACCATGCCACTCTGGACCTATGCTTCCCACACGTCACCCCAATCAGTTTTATGAGAACACTGTCCCCAGTATGCAGCTGAGGAGGACCAGAAGGGGGCCCAGAGCCAGGGTGGGAGACAAGGACAGCCCCTGAGCTCACCAGCTGAGGACAGAAACCCAGGGTCATTCCCCAGAGACCTGGGACCCCATGGGGATGTACTCAGACTGCCTAAGGCAGAACCGTCAGGGACGGGGAAGCCTGGAAGTGTTCAGGGTACAGTCTGCCCAGTGCAGACTATGCCACGATGGTAGCAGGCCTATGCCACCACATTACCTTCTTGACATAGAAGAGAAACAGCAGCCTGAGGATCTGCACGGCAGGCAGGAGTGGCGAGAACAGGACGCCCAGCCTGGGGAGGGCAGCAGGCAGGGCTGGTGACTATCCCCCCAGCACAGCCTGAGGTAGCCACCTGCCACCCTCTGGCCACCCAGGACCAAGACAAGGCTTCTGGGGCCCCAGGGAGGAAGACACTGGCCAAATGCCAGTGGGAGATGCTCACCAGGTCAGTGTCTGCCCGTAAATCAGGTCCAGAACATTCCGTGCAATGTCAAACTCCGGCTTTCGCTTCCTCTTGAGCTTCTTCTCCGAGATGAACCTGGGCAGAGGAGGAGCATCTGAGAGGAGGGTGGGTACTCTCTGGTTCCAGACAGGACCAGTGCAAACTGGCACCCAGCCTGGCCCCAGGCAGGCAGCCAGCAACTGTTAGGAGAGATGGCAGCCATTTGGACCCAAGGGATGGCACTGCAGAGGCTCCTCTGAGCCTTTCTCTCAAGCAGATAGAGAGACCCCCCAATCTGAAACACACAGTATCAAATGTTGTACTGATTTAAAAAAAAAAAAAGCTTCTTTCAGAATGGGCATGGTGGCGCATATCTGTAATCCCAGTACTTGAGAGGCCGAGACAGGAGGATTGTGAAATCCAGGCCATCCAGGGCTATGAAACTTTGGGGCAGAAAAAAAAAAAAAGAAAAAAAAAGAATCTTACTTTTTCAGGCTGGGCGTGGTGGCGCATGCCTTTAAATCTGGAGGTAGAAGTAGGCGGAGCTCTGGGAGTTCAAGACCAGCCTGGTCTACATACAGAGTTCCAGGCCAGTTGGAGCTACAGGGAGACCCTGTCTCAAAAAAAAAAAAAAAGAAAAATCTTTTCCCAGCACTCAGTAGGCCAAGGCAAGAAGATCAAGGCCAGCATGTGCTACAAATTGAGACAGAATCAAAAAAACAAAGGCTTCTATGCCTGTTGACGCAGGTCTGTAATCTCAGCTACGCAGGAGACTGAAGGAGGATCAAAAGTTCAAGACCAGCCTGGGCTACAGAGTCAGCTCAAGGTCAGCCTGGGCAACTCATCAAGAACTTATCTCAAAACGAAAGAAAATTTGCCAGGTGTGGTGGCACACGCCTTTAATCCCAGCTCTTGGGAGGAAGAGGCAGGTGGATCTCTGTGAGTTCCAGGCCAACCTGGTCTACATAGCAAGTTCTAGGCCAGCTGGGGCTACAGGGAGACCCTGTCTCTAAAAGACCAAAAACAACCACTTTTTTGAAAAAAATTTTGCTTTTCAGTTATTGAATTCATGTAATTTTTAATTGTGTGTATGTATGCATGTTTGTGTATCTGAGGGGAGGGAGATGTCCATGTGGGGGTTGAGGTGTGTCTATATGTGGGTAGGTATGACTGTGTGGGTATGGGTAGGTATGTGTCTGCGTATGTCTGTGTGAGTATACCTATATGCATCTGTGTAAGGGTATGTGTGTCTGTGTGGGGGTGTCTCTGTGTGTGGGTGAGGGTATCTATGTGTGTCTGTATGCATCCATGTATGGGTATGTGTGTCTGGGTGTGGGTGTGAGTACTGTGTGTCTGTGGGGGAGTTATGTCTGTGTGTATGCCCATGGGGGGGTGTCTGTGTGTGTTGGGGACAGGGGTGGGGAAGGGGTGTACATGAGTGCAGATGCCCAGAGACCTAAGACCTCAGATCTCTCTGGAGCTGGAGTTACAGGCAGTTGGGAGCCACCCAACAGGGGTGGTGGGAACCAAACCCAGGTCCTCTGCAAGGCCTATATGCAGTCTTAACCACTGAGCCATCTCTCCAGCCCCTAAACTCATGGATTTTCAAGGAAAACACAAAAGGAGACAAAAATCACCCTAGGTGCTAGGACCCAGAGGGACCACCCACGGTATTTTGAAGGCACCCCTCTCTTCTCTCTCTCTTCCTCTTTGTCTTTGAACCACACGGAAACATGACACAACTCTGAATCCTCATTTTCCTTTCCAATCTGAAACTCCAGCACATCCTGCCACCCACCCATCCTCCATGGACCTCTCACAGGCTGGCAGGTGCAGCCAAGTGGTGGGTGACCCAGTACGGCACACATCTGGCATGGGATGCACCAGCCAATCCTACCCCTGCCTGTTCTCCTTCCCCTGCCCGTGTGGGTACCAGGAGCCCAGAAGACAGGAAGAGAAGGCGAGATGGACCGAGCCTCCTCACCTCCACACCAACTCTCCAAAAAGCGAGTCAAAGAGTGCAAAGATGAAGTCCACGACCATGAACCGGTACAGCTCCTGGCCCACAAAGTCCTCCCAGCAGTGGCCCTGCAGAGTGGCCACCCTGCGGCCCAGCCAGTGGTAGCAAAGCACTCCCAGAACAGCCATCTTCAGGATGAGGTTCCTGCACAGATGGAGGGCGCAGAGGCTGACAAGGGTACCAGAGACAGCAGACCCTCTGACAGCAGCCCCACCTTCCCAGCCACACACCTGCAGATGGCCACATACACCTCCAACACGGGGGAGTCATGCCGCTCCAGGGTGGCCAGGCCACGGAAGAGGTAGGGGGCGCCCAGGTTGAGGACGCTGACCACCAGGGGCAAGGCTAGCAGCTCCACCTCCTGGTGGCCAGTTGCAGGCCTCTACAAGGGCAGTGAGGGAGGGCTGGGTCAAGGAAGGCACCGCACCCATGGAGACTGGCCTGCGGGTGTAGGCTGCGAGGAAAGCCTGGCCGGAAGGCAGGGGCAACTTCCCTCCCCCAAGATACACAGCTCGCCCCAGGCCTCAGCTCCATTTACACAGGAAGTCAGGAAGAAAGCCAGAACAGAAGAAAAATGAGAAAGTGAGATATCACAGAGTGAGAACCACCTTGTGTGACCCAAGTCTGGAGGGGTACAGGGCCTCAGCCAACCCAATGCCCAAAGTCACTGGACACCTGGCTAAGAGCCAGGTTCTTCCAGGTCCCTTGAGGTACCTGGATCATGGCCTCCGAGAAGGTGAGGACTGCCACTGTACAGCCCAGCGTGGTCCCCAAACACAGCAGCCACACCAGCACCAGGACGACAACCTGCCGCAGCCGTCCACACGCACCCCTGGGGCGCTTGCGCAGCTGCCAGTCAGCCAGCAGCTCCTGTAGATGGTAGTGCGTCCCTATCACCACAGTAGACCCATACCTGATAAACAGGCAGGGACAAGGGCCGGGATGGCCACCCCACCCCGTCCCAACTGAACCGCAAAATGCTGCCACTTCAAGGCCCGCCCTCATCTACTCACCATAGACATGCCTGAGTGCCTAGCCCGTGGCCCTTGCCCTGTCCTGTGGCCATGGGTGGCCCCTAGCCAAAAAAGGAGCCCTTGGGGCAATGAGGACACCTGCCCTTAACAGGAGCACCCATGAGCCACAGCAGTGTGATACCCTGAAAGAGCAGAGAGTTTCCAGCTGGCCCTATGGCTCTGAACAAAGGGTTTGATCTCTGTGCCTCAGTTTCCTCTTATAGAAGCGAATCCCTGGCTACTGTGGTTGTTCAGTAACTATACAGGAGATCATGTAAAGCTGGAGGTAATGGACTCAAGACAGGACAAAGACCCCCCCCCGCAACACACACACTCCCCAGAAAGGAGCCCTTGGAGCAGACCTAGCTCTTCCTTCTGGCCCGAGCCTGAGAATGCCAGAGCAGTTACATAACTCAGGCACTTTTGTGTCCCTAGAGCCCAGCCTAACACCACAGAGGCAATCCAATTGAAGCAAGACTGTAGAGCATTAGACCTGGCTGGTCACTGTAAGCAGACCACCACAGCCCCAACACCTCAAGGCCAGCTTGTAGCCACCTCTCCCACACAGATCTGACCATTCAACCCTAGGAGGGGCCAGTTCTGCAGACATTGTGGTGTCCAGGGTCACGGGCGGGGCAGGTGGCTGCTTACCTTTAGCTGGGTGCAGATGCTGTCTTGCTGGACACGGGAGGCCCGCTTCTGAGTCACTTTGTAGTCCCAGGAGCAGAAGACAGTTAGAGCATGGATGCCCTTGGTGCTGCCCACCCGGTAGCTCTCCCCAAAAGAGTGAGACATGCTAGAGAGAATCACAGGGGAAAGACACCAAGCATCATGGGTACATAGATGGAGAGGTGATGGATGAATGGCTGGATGGTGGACGGACGGATGAACAAATGGAGGAGGGAAGGTGGGAAGAAAAGACTAATGAATGGGGGACACAGATGGATATAGGTAGACGGGTGAGAAGGCAGGTACGTGGTCAGGTAGGTTGGTAGGTGCGGGGTGGATGGATGGGCAGGTAGGTGGGTAGACAGATCAGTGAATGGACAGATGAATGGCTGGCTAGGTAGATAGATGAGTGCAGAGATGGGATAGGTAGATAGATGAGTGCAGAGATGGGATGGATGGATGGATGGATGGATGGATGGATGGATGGATGGATGGGTGGGTGGGTGGGTGGATGGATGGATGGATGGGCAGATAGATGGACAGACAGATGGAAGACTAATGAATGGGAGGATGCAGGGATGGATGAATGAGTGGATGGGTGTGTGCTTGGAGAGATGGGTGAGGGGACAGATGAGTGGACAGATGAGAGATAGACAGGTGGAAAAAAAATTCATAGATGGATGGGTGAGTGGGTGGGTCACAGGATGGGTGGGGGACATACGTGGGGGGACAGATAGGTGGATGGGCAGATGGGATGGACAGATAGATGGAGGACCACTGGATGAAGGGATGGAGCTCAGAGGCAGGGCTGCATGGTTAAGAGTCATTACCTATACACAAGGGTGATGCAAGTAATGAAGAAGGCCACGCCCACCGTGAAGAGGTAGGCCAGTGGCATGTTGTAAGGCAGGCTGCCTGACCTGGGGCTGCACTGGCCACCTTCCCATGAGGAGGCACATGGCTGGTTCAGCGTGGTGTTACTGTAGTACCCGTAGTACATGACGGTGTGTGTGAAGGAGCCCTGTCGGGATGCCAGGCAGAGTCAGGGACCCACCCCAAGCCCTCGCTTCCCCTAGCCCACCTTCAGGCCTCCTGAAGCAGAGGGAAACCACCCATGGGGGCAGGAGCGGTCTCCCCAGGGAGGCCGTGACATGAAGAGTCAGCGGGGCCAAGGCAGGAGCTGAAGACAGCATGCAGGCCACCTTACCCCACCTGTGAGAAGCTCCAGACCAGAGAAGGTGAGGACAGGGCCCGATGGGTCAGGCGGGAAGGCAGCCTGCACGCCCACGAGAAAGGCCAGCAGTGGCACCAGCAACAGTGTGTTGAAGACCAGCAAGGTCTTGAGGAAGAGGAAGTAGGAGAGAACACTGGAGCCGAACTGGCCGCCAATCTCCTTCAGGGCATAGCGCCATGGCCTGGCGGCGTGCAGGCCCGAGAGCAGCAGCAGCCCCAGGCTGTGCAGGGCCTATAGGAACACAGGCAGGACAGCTGTGAGGGCTGGGACAGCTGCAGGACCAGTCATCCACAGCCCAAGGGTACCCTCCACCCCAGCCACCTGTGTCTACAGCAGATGGACTCCCGGCTCAACTGGGAGCTCGTACCAGAATGCAGGAGTATCCAAGCCGGCTGCAGCAGGAAAAGGTCCCACCTCGGCCCCTCCGCTTCCCCTTTGGGCTCCAACTGTTCTCTCTGTGGACGGAGACAGCCATCAGTGCTTAGACCACAGAGAAATGTGGCTCCGTCCTGGAAGCCGCCCACCAGCAGGCTCAGGAAGGCCAGCTGAGACCTTTGGTGTTAGGCCTCAAAAGGCCAAGGGGCACTCACCGCAGCCAGCGTTTTTCAGCCAGGCTCAAGGGCATGCCCCGAAGCATGTGGTCCCGCTGAGCCAATGGCAGGCCCTGAAGCTCCTTTACCAGCAGGTTCCGTTTCTCTATGCAGAGGAAAGAGGTCTCTCAGGGCCCAGCAGCCTTCCTGTTACATAGTGACCAAGGCCCTGGGCAGCCACCAAACCAACACAGCCCTCTGCCCACCCTATAGCAGACCTACCAGGTGCAGCTGAGCCTAGACGACCTGCCTCTGCCCTTACAGCGAAAGCCAGACCCAGGCCAGCAGTGCAGATGATCCTCCCAAAGCCCCCCAGCTCCCCTTCCCCCATCCCTCCCTCTGCCTGCACCCTTCAAGTCCAGGAGCCCCTTCTCCCATCCTTGAGGCCCAGCAAACCTAGCAAGGCCTGTGCTCAGCCCTTCTGCAGTGGAGGAGGGCAGGGCCTGACTACCACCCACTGACACCCCACTTCTCAGGAAGCTTAATCAAGGTACCCTAGGATTCAGCCTTAAAGAGTTCCAGGAGTCGGGGCTGGAGAGCAGGCTCAGCGGTTAAGAGCACTGACTGCTCTTGCAAAGGACCCAGGTTCGATTCCCAGCACCCGCATGGTGGCTACGAACCGTCCTTAACTCCAGTTCCAGGGGAATCCAACGCCCTCTTCTGACCTCCACGGCATTGCATGACACGGGTGCACTCAGATACATGCAGACAATACACTCGTACACATAAAATTAAAATAATAAAATATTTTTTTAAAAAAAGAGCTCTGGGAATCAATGGCATTCTCCCTCATCATGAGGACCAAAGCCCATCATGGCAGCAGGCCAAGAAAAGTGGACAGAGCCACAAGGTCAGGACCTCACTGCCTCCTTACAGTTAGTGTTGTCAACTTGAGTCTAAAACTGCCTGGGAGAGGGTCCTCTGGGCATGCCAGTGGCAGACTATCTTGACCATGTTAATGATGTAGGAAGGCCCCATCTTTTTTCTTTTTTTTTTTAAATGTGTATGCGTGTATTGCCTGCGTGTATGTGAGTGCACTCGTGTCGTGCAATGCCTCGGAGGTCAGAAGAGGGCTTCAGATTCCCCTGGCACTGGAGTCAAGGACAATTCATAGCTGCCATGTGGGTGCTGGGAATTGAACCCAAGTCCTCTCCAAGAGCAGTCAGTGCTCTTAACCACTGCGCCCTCTCTCCAGCCCCGGGAAAGCCCATCTTAACAGTGAATAGAACCATTCTCTGGGCAGGGGTTCTTGGGCTGTATGAAACAGAAAAGCGAGCTGAGTTCTGTCATGCATTCGTCTGCCCTCTCCTGCCTGTGGATGCGATGTGAGCAGCCGTTTCAAGCTCTGGCCACCATGACTTCCCCACCATGGTGGACTGTGCCTTGAGCTGTGAGGCAGAATAAACCCTTTCTCCCTTAGATTGCTTTCACCAGAGGATCCTATCACAGCAAGAGGAACAGAAACTGACAGCGGCTGTCACCACGCTCCTGGCCCTGAAGCATAGGCAGGTGCCACCTTAATCTTACGCCCGAGATGGGTGCTACCCTAAGCCCAAATTTACAAATAAGTATCTTCAAAAACAGGAGGATGAGTTCAAGGGCAGCCTGAGCTACATAGCAAATTCCAGGGCAGCTTGGGCAGACTTTGACCCTGTCTCAAATCACCAAGGGCTGCAGATGTGGATCCGTGGTAGAGTATTTGCCGGTATGCACAGTTCCCTGAGTCCCATCCGCAGGGAGGGATGGAGGGAGGGAGGAAAGGAAAGAGGGAAGGAAGGAGGGAGCGAGAGGGGAAGGACCCTCAGGAAACTAAAACACAGCCAGGTAGCAGAGTAAACAGGGAGGCTGAAACGTTCACTTGAACCCAGAGCCCATGCCATCCTGACCTGCTCCATAACCTGCCATGAGAGGCCTTGGGCTCTCCCCCATTCCCAAGCCTTTTCACACTTGGCTGTGAGCTTCTGACATAAGCCATGCGTACTCTGACCTCAGGACCTTGGCACACGCCCCCTCTGCTCTAGTCACTTCCTCCTTGAAGCCTTTCTGGAACCCCCAGGCTGGCCTGGCTTCTGGGTTGCTCTCCTGTGTGTGCGTGTATAAACCTGCACTTCAGTCACCTGCTTACCCATGTATTTGGCTCATGTCTGTGTCACCATGCATGCAATAAGCTACGAGCTGTGACTGGCCTACTGACCACCATCGTAAGCCCAAAGCCTCCCCAACACTCAGTGCTGGAGGATGTTGGAGAGGGATATGACTACCCTGGAGGAGCCCTTCGCAACTCATGTCCTAGCACCCAAACGGTTCCCCTTGCAGCGGGGACAGCCTTCAGACAACAGGTGGGGTTTGCTGGCTTTGCTCTATTCCTGCCCCTGCCCAGCCAGGCTGCTCACTCACCATCTTCCTCCAGGGCTGTGGGGTCCAGCTCCAGGTCATATAGGCGGAGGCTGGGGCGGGCTGAGCGCACCATATCCCCCAGCAGGGGCCGGCTGCTCCTGCGCCGTAGCCTCACTGTGCGGTTGTAGTATTGGGAGATGATGGCCCCGCGGCTGCGGCCTAGAAAGACAAGAGGTGGGTGGCAGAGAGCAGGGCCTGGCTTTGCCTCCCTCTGGACAGTTCTTGGCACCAGACCTTCCCATCCCTCAGCCCTTCCCAGGGCTGGAGAAAATCCCTTTACCGGAGACCTCCATGACACTGCTTTCCCAAGAGCTTTTTGGTTTTGGTCTTTTTGAGACAGGGTCTCCCTGTAGCCCCAGCTGTCCTGGAACTCACTATGTAGACCAGGCTGGCCTTGAACTCACAGAGATCTACCTGCTTCTGCCTCCCTAGTGCTGGGATTAAAGGTGTGCACCACCATGCCCAGCCCAAGAGCTTATTTTTACCCCTGTGACAAGTCTCAGGGAAGGGTAGCATGGGGCGTACAAGGCCTCAGGGCAGCAGGCAGGGAGGAAGGGAGCCAGAGTACCTGCCTATGAGGAACACATGCCCTGGTGCAGCCCCAGACCAGGGTCAAGCCCAGATCAAGAGCAGAGGGTCCCACTCACCGATGGTGCGACTAGGCATGCTGGCCAAGATGCGAAGTGTGGCCATGCTGTAAGCGGGCATACCTTCAGGTTCTGGGAGGGTCTGCTGACCACTTCCTAGGAATAAAGACAACATTGGCCCAGATGTCTCACCCACCCCACTCCACCCCAGGCCTACAACATGCAAGGGGGCATATCCCCAGGTCCTGCCCATACCAAGCCAGCATGCAGGCCTGGGCTCACCTGGGGCCAAAGGCAAGAGCTCCAGCCCCTCCTCAGCCACTCGCAGGCTCTGTTCTTGAATGAGCTGGTGAAAGGAGTCGTGCACGTCACTCTCTTCATAGGGGCTGGGCTCCAGGCTGCCAGGGAGGATGGGTGTGGGAATCAACGTGCCAGCCCTCCCCCTTCCAGGAGGCCTCACCTCAGACAGGGTGACCCATCCCAAACAACCAGCCCCGAGTCCCAGAGCACTTACTCCAGGTCCCCTGTGGTCTCCGGGACATTGAGGACTAAAGTTAGCTGCTGAGCCATATCTGTGGTATGTACTCAGCTGGTCTGCAGACAGGAGACCTCAGAGCCTTGGAACCTCCCACTCCCCATCTGCTGAGACAGAGACAAAGCTGGTCTTCAATGCATGGTACAGAGGCTTATGCTGCAGGCATCCCCACACTACAGGAACCCCCACCCTGTCCTCCACCCCCAACTAAACACATGGTCAGAAGACTGGCCCCAAATAACATTCCCATCAGTAAGAGACTGGGGCAGGGAGACAGGAAGGAACAGCATGAGACCTAGGGTTCCCCCATCTGTTTCCCGGATGTCACTAGTCCCTGGGAAATGGGGCAAGGGGCCTGTGGACACTACCCCTTTCAGGCCAGGGCGTAGCTCTAGGGACACCTCCCTCTTCGACAAGGAGCTGGGCAGCTCAGAGGACTTCCCTGTGCCCACCCTGTGACCCCAAAGTGCTTCCTCAAGCAGGAAATCCTGTCAGGCAACCACAGAGCCCTGTCCCCAGCTTAGCAGAATAAGCCCCCAACACTCCTCTCTGGGTGCTCCAAGGTCCCAACATTTCAGCACAGCAGAGTCCTGGAGGAGGGAGCTGGGCCAACACAAGCCCCCTTTGTCCAGCTCTGCAGTCACAGGGCGCAGTAGCAGCCAAAGGGGCATTGTATGGGGTTCTTTGTCCTCCGGGCCCACTGCCCTATGGGAGTGGGCTGGAAAGAGCTGCCAGTCACTGACTCCTGCAGGACTCTGCTACGCAGAGGCCAGGCCCAGCCCTGTCTGTAGATCTACCCCAGGAACCAGTTTTCAGGGTGCTCCCCCGATGGCACAGAGTAGTCCTGACAGAACGGCCCACTCAGCCTTGCTTGGCATCCAGGACGAACCCCTCCCTGGCCCCCGACCCACCCTGCAGTGCACAGTGGAAGGGCCAACCTAGAGCCGGCCACAGGCAGCCCCGCCCAGGTGTAAGGCGGCCAGGCCGGGTGGAGCTGGGATCCCTTCCCTGGCCACAGTATTCCCCAAGCTCGACCCCCCCAGCCGCCCCATACCCCTTTTCCGTGAGGGGCTGGAGAGTGCTCCATGGCTGTGGGTGGTCCGGAATTCGGGACCTGCCAGGTCTCCAGTCCCGCCTCGGGCCCGTCAGGTGAGCGCAATTTCCGGGGCGCACCACTCCAGAGCCGAGTCTGGCGGGGAGAGGCCCGGCGCAGGTCGCCCCAGCGAGCGGCGACCTGGCCCAAAGCAGCCGCCCCATCCTTCGCCAGGGTCGGCCTCGGAGCGGCCATCAGCCCGGCTCCCGGGCGCAGGCACCTCGGCTCGGCTCTCAGCTCCGGCACCAGCCAGACCCCACCGTGGGAGACCCAGGGAGGGACCCCAGACAGCACAGGGGAGAACGATCCTATCCGGGGCTGACAACCGCCAACCCCGGGGCTGAGACCCCGCACCTGGATTGGCGCCACCCAACCAGAGGCGGGATCCGGTGCCCGGAGCAGCTCACCTGTCTGCGCACAGGCCGCCGGGAACTGCAGTCCTGGCTCCGTCACCTAAGGGAGGGTCAGTGAGAGACAGTGATGAAAGGTCCAGAGGGCAACTTGTAAAGTTTCCAGGCCTGGCAGACCCAGGGAGTGGCGCTACCCGCCCACGTGGCAGCACGCCCAGCAGCCACGTGACCTGCTCCCTCTAGTGGGTGGACCGCGCCCGTCCAAGCCCATGCCCAGTGCGCCCTAGCTCCGGGCCTCACCCTGTATATACTCTGAGCTGTACCTACGGTAGACTGGGACCATACAACTTCTGGGTGAAGTTCACAGTTTCAGTGTAACTCAGTTTCTCCAAGTTTCTAAAGTCGATGGTATTTCCAGACACACCCACATCCCACGGTTGTTTACTACTACCCAGCCCTTCCTCCGAGCCTCCGCTAACTGCTCCCCTTCGGAGCAGAGGAACTGGGTTCCCGCCCCTCCCACCTGGGAGTGGTGTGTTTTTGTAACTCCATTCAGGCTGCGGAGTACACTGTCCTCAAGTGCTGCGCCCATTGGTAGCTTCTCCTGTGGTTTCCCCCAAGCCACAACTGCTATGACCTTGCTGTTTCACGGATGAGGAAATCGAGGCTGAGAATGTTTCACCAGCCCCAGCAGAAGCCTTTGGCCACCAGCATTCCCCTCCCCCCATGTCCGGAGAGGGAGACAGCAAGCTGGAGGTAGAAGGGAAAGATGCAGTCCTCGTGCAGGGGGATCAAACCTTCACAAGCAGCGACGTGGGGATGCAGGCACGTGGTGGGATTGAGCACGGAGGGAGGGATCAGTGGAGGCTTCTTTGCAGCTGTCCCTGTGGGTGCTCTGGTGGATATATCTTAGGCGTCTTAACCTGCAGGCTCAGCCTTCCTCAGCCCCTACATCCCTTTGCCGGCCTAACCCTTCCTGCACCACACACTAAATTTGCATAACCTCTAGTTCAACCCGAAGGCCACCTCCTTGGGGGCCTCCCCCATGAACTCTGTAGGAGCACAGGGCCACTGGGCAGGGACACAGGGAGAATGAAGATGACACAGCGTTAAAAGAGATGAACAAGGAGCAGGCAGGGTGTGCAGGGCTGCTGGGCATCCCAGGGGATCCGAGAACTGGGAGCTAGCTAGACAAGAAGCGGCCCAGAGCCTTTAGACCCAGGCCGGGGGAGGGCAGAGCACTGTGAAGGCGGGACTTTCAGAAATAACACTGGGTGTGCTGGGCTCACCGTCATGCAGCTGGGTGTGCTGGGCTCAGCATCAGCTCACTACCACACCCAGGGCAACTGCTGAAGGCGGATAACAGGCGGCCTGGCCAGGGGCCCGTCCCCATCTCCCATCCCCCACCCCGGGCAGGAAAGGGGAGGGCGGGGGCTGGAGCGCAGGAGGGGCCGACTTGGGGTGGGCTCAGACAGCGCCCAGAGCCAGCGGACCGCAGTGGAGCCAGCGGGAAGGGAAAGCCAGGCCGGTCTAGCGCGTGCCCACTGCGGGCATCTCACCTGTGCCCCTGTGCGCGCAGGAAGTGCCCGCAGAGGAAACGGCGGGAAAGGCGGGAGTGGGTGGAGGGGAGGAGACGCTGGGGGAGCCGGGGTTCCTGTCATGTGATCGTACCCCACTCCCTCACAGCCCCGCCTGACTTGGAGGGAGCTGGTCCCAGAAAGGGGCCCCTTCTGGAGGTTAATCCTCATCTCCACGTTAGCTGGATCCGGTGTGCAGAGAAGGAAGGTAAGGGGGTCAAAAACCCAGGCCGAGGGACTGGACTGGAAGTATAGCCTCCTCCGGGGTGATTTTGGGGTCTCCTTCCTTTTTCCATGGCTGTGATGCAGCCATGGAGCCACGCCTCCTCATCTGGGCTCCTTAAGAGGACGAGCAGACCCAGACTGGACCAGAAGGCACACAAAAACGTGCCCTAGCACATCCCAAACTGGGGTCTTCCTGGAAGGGCTAGGAGCTGTCGGGGTTCGAGACCTGAGTGTCTCCCCACAGTGCCAACTGGCTCATGGCTTAGAGTGGGAATTGTGGTTTTTCCAAAGGTTGATCATAAAACCTGCGGCAGCCCCCCTTAGCTCTGTGGCTGTCCTCTCTCCGGGCCTTTTACCCCTTTTGACAGGTGGGGAGACTGAGGCTCCTGGTCTTGTCTCTGAGAGGTGGAGCGATCCTAGCACGCTCCTTTTTACTTCTGGGCGTGTATACAGGGCCAAGACCCTCATCCCTCCTGGGCGCAAGGATCCTGCCTGTCCTGGGATGCTTCGCCAGCGGTCGGGGCAATCGGGGCAGGGCCCCTGGCGACCTGAACCCCAGGCTGCAGCGGAGGCGCTGTGGGAACAGGAGATGGAGCGGCTGTGCGCCTCGCGGGCGCCAGTGCGGATGCTGCCTTACGCCATGGCTGACAAGCGCTTCATCCGGTGGGTGCCTTCACAACCCCAGACACAGGCCGAGCGGGCGGTGGGGGTGGGGGGTGCCGGAGGATGCACCTGTGGGTGACTCAGGGGCGCCCCCATCGCCACGGTCCTGCAGGGAGCTGCGGGAGCCCGAAGGGGTGAAGACCTCGTGCTGGCAGCGGTGGCGGCGCAGGAGGGAGAGGGCACAGGTGCACCTGCGGGAGGCGGCGCGGCGGCTGGCCCGGGGCTTCGGGCTCTGGGAGAGAGAGCTCTACGAGATCGGAGGTAGAACCCCAGGCTGACCCTCACTTCCCACCTCCCCAGTCCGCCCCTCCATCCTTGAGGGCGCACGCTTGGTGAGTGACGGTGCCCTCTGGTGGCTGTCAGAGGTACTGCTAGGGAAGCCCCTGTGGCCTGGTACTGGTCCCCTCTTAGCAGCTTGGGCGGCTGACATCCTTCCTTTTTCCCCATAGGCCTCTTTGGCACGGGGATCCAGTCCTACTTCACCTTCCTCCGCTTCCTGCTGCTGCTCAACCTGCTGACCCTGTTGCTGACCACCAGCTTCGTGCTGCTGCCCCTGGCCTGGCTCCGGCCCCCTGAGCCAGGCCCCACCCCTAAACTAAGTGAGTGCTTTGCATTGCCCCATTCACTGGCTGCTACCTGGGCAGGCTGTTTGGGGCCAGCCTGGACCCTCTTTGCCCCTACCTTCTCCGTGGACGCTTCTTGACACAACAACCTCAGGGTTGGGGTAGGGGTAATAGAAAACAGTGTCACCTGTGTCTTGGGGACCACTCCCTGTTGGCCCTTTTCCCTACTCAGCAGGCCTCCAGTGCTCCGACAGCCAGCTGCCCCAGAGTGGCATTCCAAGATTCCACAACCCGCTTTGGAATATTTTAACTGGCAGGGTAAGAGAGGGTCTGTCCTGGCTACATGGGGAACCTGGGAGACTCCAGTCTAAGAGGGTCCCCGCCCACCAAGGGTGCTTTGATAGTGGGTCTTACACAGGCCAGCCAGGCCAGTGGTAGGGACATGGACCTATGACCCCTGGTACCCAGATAGGAGTGCAAGGAACAAAGGGAACGGAAAGGATCCAGGCCTCTAAGAGAAGCACCCTGCCCTCTAATTCCTGGGCCCATTGAGCCAGTATGGGTTCCAAACTTGGGTGGCCTTGGCCAAGCTACCCAGCTTCTCTGAGCTTCGTAAAATAGAAATATTCTCAGGCCAGGCATGGTGGCGCCTATCTGGAATCGCAGCACTCAGGAGATTGAGGCAGGGGGATCACAAGTTCAAGACAAGCCTGGGATATCCTGTAGAGCACATCAGCCTTACAGGCTTGTGGGGAGTGTGAGCAAGCACTCTGAATGGGCCTGGCACTTGACCCACACTCAGGTGTCCTCACTATGTTCCCAGGCCTTCAACAACACCTATCTCTTCTATGGTGCCTACCAGGCAGGACCAGAGCACAGCTCAGCATACAGCATCCGCCTGGCCTACCTCCTCAGCCCACTGGCCTGCCTGCTTCTCTGCTTCTGTGGGACACTTCGGCGGTGAGGGCAGACCCCGTGTCTCCTACAGACCTCTGTCTGTAGCCACCCTTCCCAGGGCAGGGAGACCCCAGCTGGCAGATGGGTACCTGGCCCCTGTGCAGTGAGGCTGACCCCAGCTCCCCAGCCCAGACCACAGTCCTCAGGAATAGGGCCAACACACACTCGCACACACACACACACACACACTGAGGCCAGAACCCCAGCCAAGCCACCGCCAAGGCTGGAGGAACCCCCATAGCGGTCCCTTTCCCTTACCAGGATGGTAAAGGGACTGTCACCGCGGCCACTCCTGGGTCAAGGCTACAGGGCGCCCCTCAGCGCCAAAGTCTTCTCCTCCTGGGATTTCTGCATCAGCGTGCGAGAAGCCGCCACCATCAAGAGGCATGAGATCAGCAACGAGCTGAAGGTGTGTAGGAGGGCAACGTGACTGAGTGTGCGTGTGCATGAGCAATGACAGTGGACTGGGGAGGCTGTGCCAAGGTGGACCTGAGTGCCAGGGTGAAAGCCTTCTGGTGGTATACATGCAAGGGCCTGACTGGGCGTGCTGGTGTAAATGTATGAGTATGGCAGGGCGTACAACAGAATTGTGATAGTGTGAGTGTGTGACTAGGGCAGTGTGCAGCTGTGAGTGTGCACGTGACCAGTGACCAGATGAGTGTGACTCTGAGTGAACATGTGAGGATATGTAAATGTGTCTGAGACTGTGTGAGTGTGGCTAGATGTGGTGGTGCACACCTGTAATCCTAGCACTTGAGAGGCTGAGACAGGAGGATTGCCGTGAGTTTGAGACCAACCTAGGCTATACATGATGTGAGTGTCAGGCCAGCCAGTGTTACAACACAAGACCCTGTCTCAAAAAACAAAACCAAGAGGCTGGAGAGATGGCTCAGAGGTTAAGAGCATTGGCTGCTCTTGCAGAAGACCCTGGTTCAGTTCCCAGCACCCACATGGCACCTAACAATCACCTGTAATTCCAGTTCCAGGGGATCAGATGCCCTCTTCTGGCCTCCTTGGGCATTGCACAACAGGGGTACACTTACATACATGCAGGCAAAACACTTATACATAAAATAAAATGTAAAAGAAATAATAAGGGGCTGGAGAGATGACTCAGCAGTTAAGAGTACTGACTGCTCTTGCAGAGGACCCAGGTTCAATTCCCAGCACCCACATGGTGCCTGACAACTGTCCCTAATTCAGGTTCCAGGGAATCCAGCACCCTCTTCTGACCTGCATGGACATTGTACAACACAGGTGCACTTACATACATGCAGGTGATATACTCATACACATAAAATAAAAATAATAAAATATTTAAAGGCCAGGCGTTGTGGCGCACGCCAAGGCACTGGGGAGGCAGAGGCAGGCAGATCTCTGTGAGTTCCAGGCCAGCCTGGTCTACACAGTGAGTTCCAGGCCAGCTGGGGCT